ATAGTCATATCTATAAATACACCTACTCTCTTAACCTCTTAATAACCACTGGTAATACACCATAGGCTATATCTGGCATGAGGGCAATTTACTGCAGTCAATTTATTTCCCCTGGGGATGCGTTTATTACTGCTGTAGCAACAACAGCCTGAAACCCAACTGGCAAAGCAGGGCCCTAATGTACCAGGTGCTGTGGACACTCAGACAGACGCAGACAGCGCCCGCTCCAAACTGAATTGAGACTCTGGAGTGACACTCCCTTGCATGCCTTGGTTAACATGATAGCAGTAGGAAGAGGTCTGGCCCCCTTCATTCAGTGTATGAAAAATGACACTGCAAGGCATGACCTTTAAAACCATACATTTGTACCTCGATTGGGTGGAAACACAGGCTGGTAAGGGTGGATGAGGTGCTGTGCTGGCATGCTCAGCACTGGGTTTTTTGGGAAAACAAATGCACGAACCAAGAGCAAGCCATGGCAAGGCTGGGGTGTGGAGACGGCCTCAGCACTGAGTTGTGTGTGGTGACAGTGAGCAGGGGCTTGACACCCACCTCACACGACAGCACCCCACAGCCATCTGCTCACACAGCCACAGCTGCCCACTGCTTCTCTGCTTTTCTGGAAATACAAACTTGGGTGGGACACCCGTGTAGGCAAATTTTAAGCCTGCACGTGTGGCACTTTCTGTCTGTAATCAGTAGCTCAGTGAAGGGCAAAGATAACGACAGCGACACAGCTCAGCTTTACACACGTTTATTTTTTAATCTTTACAGAACACTGCTGCAATTATAATAAGGCATTAAACGCACGATTGAAAAGCTCACGATGAACTGTGACGTTTCACCCTTTTGTGGGAGAAAAAGGGGTTTTACAAGATTATAGCTGTTGCTTTCACAGTCAGTAAACTCGTTATTCATTACAGACAGACTTTTAAAAGAATTACAAAGATTAAAAAACTGTAAACGTATCAAAAACAGCGACGACCCAGCATAGCATCCTTGGAGAGAGCCTGGGGTTCCCTGCTGCAGACTGGGCTTTGGGCTGGCAGTGAGGATGGGGTCCTACCATTGCCGCAGGTCTCACTGCGGGCACAGCCCCTATCAGGTGTTTGGCAGCTCCCAGATGGCCCAGCCTCTGTCACAGATTTCTGATTGAGATAAATAAATAAAAAAGGTCACCGGGAGCTGCTGGAGCAGTGGGGACACAGGGAGGAGCCCCGGCTGAGGCCTCGTGACCCCTCCCCGGGGAGGCAGAGGTCTGGCAGAGCCCAGCCACATGGCCTGGCACCCCAGCTAACACGTTATGAGGTAGAAGATGGGCAAGTGTCACATTTTGCTGTGAGGGTCGGCCAGGAATAAAATGTTCCTCCTTGATATGAATAACCGTTTCCAGAGTGCTACAGGTGGTACCTGAAACCCACCTCAGATGCCCCAAATTTACATTCTCCAAGAAGGGAGCGCTCCATAGATACGTGCAACAAGTTTAAGCCCAGGTAATTAAAAAAATTGTCCTCACAGTTGCATCCTTACAGCATTTAGCTTCTGAGCAGGGGAAATCAAATGGCTGGGTTATAGGAACAGGCAATTAATCACCCTTGGCCTCAGCCCATGGTACAGCCATTTGAGACCAAAGCGATGAGAACAGTTGTCTACCAGGAAGCAGACAAATATGTTCATTTCCTACAACCAAGACCCAGATAGCAAGTGTTTGGGTTTCTCTCACAGTGCACATCATTAGAACCTGAGAGTCCCAAGGTTTTATATCACACACCCAACCCACACACCCCTGCCATTTGCACAGGTGTCTTGTTTGATGATCAGAGAAATGTCCTGAGATTGTTCATCTGCTAAACTCTTGCATTCCATTCTCTAAAAGTCTGCCTTCACTTCTTTAGTAGCACACACGAACAACAAGATGAAGAGATTGTGTTACTTCTGTCATTTATTTATTTTTTTATTCCTCACACTTCTGCAGTGTACATTTAGATTATTAGGTTGACTTATGTTTCCTTAAAATGCTCAGGGAATATTTGAGGGTTCATTTAAGTACTGCAAGCTTATGATCTGTGACAGGCATTTTACAAAGTGTCAGAAAACTTCTCGCTTGATAATAACATACTGGCAGTCTGGGGAACATGCTCTTTTCTAGTGCTAATAACCAGCATTAAAGCATGCCATGGTTCCTACAAGAAATCTGTGATCCTTACAGTGTTAGCTGTCATCTTCCTGCAATTATGGAATGTACGCCAATTTTATGCATGTGTATCATTAAAAAATAAAAATAATGGCTCACAAAATCCACCAGCTTCTGCAGTGTACATGAACACAGAGCACAGGGCTTCCCATTAGGGGTGATGAAAGGGTTTTTGCCCCTCGTGATGTCTATCCCCTGCCTTGTGCCAGCTGCTGCCTCTGTCCAGGTGCAGTCTGCCCTCCTGCTTGGCAGGTCCTCCCTTGTGCTTCTGGAGGACATAACCTGGGTTGTGTCCTTGTACACACAAGGCAAAAGACAGCTAGCAATCAGCCTTTCTTCTCCAAGTCTTGCTTCTCGAGCAATTTCATTCCCTGCTCTCACTGATCTCAGTGGGCTGAAGGTTCTCCTTACATAAGTAAGTTATTCCTCTTTTTCACCTTAGAAATTGATAGAATCATGGAACTTTTTGAGATGGAAGGGATCTTTAAAAGCCATCTAGCCTCACTCCCTTGCAATGAACTGGGACTCCTGCAGCTAGATCAGGTTGCTCAGAGCCCTGTCCTGCCTGACTTTGAATACCTCCAAAGATGAGGGCTTCCACCACCTCTCTGGGCACCCTTTTCCAGTGGTTTATCAAAATTCAGTCCATTGGCCTCACCAATTCAATCTCCTTGACGATACACCCGGAGGGATGTAAGCTCTCCCAAGGTGACTGCTGGCCACTGCTAGTTCCTGCCCTCAGACACGCTCTGTATCATGACACAGCTGCAAATAACATCTGTTAGGCAGCAGTACCGTCAAACAAGGCTGCTCCTTTAGTTACCAAGTAACACAACTAATGCAGCAGCTAGAACGAGTAACGGCTAAGTAGCATCTCTTTTGCAGGGTCAAAGTTAAAGTCTGAGTACAACATTACACTATTTACAGCGACCAAAGGCATGAAGGCAGAGCGGTGCAGGTTCTCCAGCTCTCTGCAGAGGGGAGCCATGCCCGCTGAGCCCAAGGGACTGAGCACAGGAGGGTGCCAGGCACAGGAGCTGCGTGTGCCTCCTGCCATGAGCAGCCAGAGAAGAGAGCAAGAGGGACTTTAAAACACAGAACAGAGAAGATATGCAGATCCCCCGCTACATGTAGTGTGAGCTGGAATGGACCATAAACATTCTCATTTGGGTATAAAATACAGCTTTTCCCTTCACTTCTCTGTCATACCAGCCACTGAGAGCCCCCTTTGGCAGCCAGGGTGCTCCAGGCCTCATGTCGAACTGTCCTCCAAAGAAGAATAAGGCAGCGGTCACGATCTCCACCAGTCACAGCAGACTGAAAAGGAAAGCAGACAGGCTGGGAGCTCTAGCTGGGATGCATCGATGTCAGAAGCAGTGAGTCCCAGCACCGCCTTTGCAGGAGGACTTTTAGTTATTCTATACCTTGCCCCTTGCCCCTTCCCCCTTCACCCCTTCCCAAGATTCTTCTCAGGTATTATCTCACAATAGTAAAAAATCTCATTCTTCAAATATTATATATTTCTTATATTTGAGATTTAACCCATAGCTGACAACAAACCAAGTGTTTCTATCACAGTTCTGCAGGCAAGTTCCTTACAGACACAGCTCTCCACTCACATTTGGCTATGGCAGGGGCTAAAACAAATATATATTAGCAATCAATCACGACAAAAGGTCAGCAGCGCATACAGCAACCTTTGCTGTTTTTCCCACCATCACAAGACCACAACTTCAATGCTCCACAGAAACTGGCTGATACTGAACACATCAGTAATAGAAGTTTTGGGCTACTGTGCTGCATGATGGCAATTGATAGTGCCTTGTACCCTTGATCATCCCCTACGTTAAGTCAGTCCCATGCCAGCCAGTCCAACTGCTTGATGTATAACCTTTGTGCTTCCTGACAACTTATTTTTTGTAAAGAATTTGGTTTATATTGAATGAGCCTCTAAAGCTCCATCCTGACCTTTTGTTTCTGGTAATGAGAAGGCCAGCAGCCTAGTGACATGAAACTGAAGTTTCAAAAGGATTTGTGTGATGCAGACAGGCCCACTATAAGCAAACCCTGAGGCAGAACTTGAATTTCTTCTGGCATCTGTACTGAAGGAGATGTGTTCAGTTTCTGCATCCCCATGCTTTTTTACTCCTTGGATCTTTTGAGACTCCTAACAGGAGGTCAGTTAATTCAAGTGATGGCAGTTTTCATACAAAGACATCTGTCCACTGGGAACTGAACTTCCTTTATATGGGCCACTATAGCTATCAGAAGTTAGTGAGTATCAATCATTACTAATCTGAACTGAAATGGAACCACTGACCTCAAGCTGAAAGAGCCTTTTGTCTTTCAGCAATACCACCATGAGCCATATGGTTCTTTGCCCTTTGCCTCTTATTTTTACATTTTAAATAACCACCACTAATTGCAGCACTGCTTGAAAATATGGGAGATTTGTGGTAAGCCATGAATAAGCGGTCTTTTTTGCCCACAGGTCTCACTCATACAAAACAAGGGACTGGCTTCGAATTTAATTATTAAAAAAAAATCTCTTTTAATTAAATATCAGCCTTGTTTCTTAACATGACACCAAGCAGACAGTTAATAATCCTTCTGTAGGCTGCAACAAGCTTCCAACGTGTCAAGGTCGTTCCTGTTCTATATATGAAAGTAATAAGAAAATTATGTAGGCATGACACCAAAGGAATGCTTTATGTTAGGATAAAGGAGTTATCTAAGGAATCTACTTGTCAAAAATCTCTTTTTATTCTGTGGTTTTCATTATTTTATACCAATTGCATTTGCTCTGGCATGTTCTCCCTTTACAATAAGTGTTCATATAATGCAAACATTTGATTAGAGAGCTCACAGAAAGACCGTTCTTGTCAGAAAAACAAACTGCATCACCAGCTATCTTTAGCCACATCTATTTCCTTTAATGAAACATACTTTTTTTTGTGGAAACGCTGCTTTAAAAATCATGACCACGCTAATTATCTATGGCAAGCACATCTTCCTCAACTAATGACAGCTCGAGCATATTATCGTTTGCACCAGACTTCATTCTGAAATTGAACGACCCGTAGAGCTTTGCAGACTCCTTGGAGGACGCAAACCTGCTCCTCCGATACAGCTCCCCTTTCCACATGGACATCATCAGCAGGCTGGAGAGCACCACTCCCCCCAGGGTTAGGAGACACAGCCCGGCAATAACACAGCGGTCCAGGTGAGCCCCAATCCTGGCACTCTCATTCTCCAGTCTCTCCATCTCCCGGGCAGCCACCGTGTTGGGATCCACAGTCACGTCTCTGGGTACCACGTAGGAAATGATCACCAGCAAAATCCCACTGACTAAGAACAAAATGGCACTGATGAATCCATAGTCCAAGGATTTCCCAGCCGTTGCCTCTGAGGCAGTTTCATCCTCCTCGGAGACCAGGGATGGAGAGTCGTGCACCCACTCGGGAGGCAACTCATGGCAGGAGAGCTGCTGAGCAGCATCCTGGTAGCCTGTTGGACTGGAGGGACTTCTTGTATGCTCCAGGTTTACATTTTCATCCACACAGGAGAAGGATGTCTCGAGTTCCTGGATACAACAGCAGGGTTTCTTCTTCCCTCCATCCCCTTCCCCTGGAAAGTGCTCAGGCAGGTGGCAAGGCTGGGAGTTGCTGGGGGGTATGGGGTGCTCCTGTGGTGAGCTGCCCGAGCAGGAGGACAGGGGTGCTGGGGTGGGCTCAGCCATGGAGCCCCTCTGTGAGGGCTTGCAGTGCCGTTCACAGCGCAGGGCTGCCACGGCTGCTGCCGCTCCGGAGTCCACCTCTCCGGTCTCATGCTGCTGCTGTTGCTGCTGCTGCTCATAGTGAGGGGTGGGCAGGGTCCAGCCGGCAGCGGGGCCCAGGGCACCCTGCCTGCTCTCTTCGGCCAGGTAGAGAAGCTCCATGCAAGCCATCGGTCTCCACTCGGTGAGCCCCGGCCACTGGGCTACCGCATCCTTCAGCAAGCACTGCCCCTGGCTCCCCAGAGCAGTCTCATGGTGATCGAGCTGCAGAATCCCAAAAATCTTCTACTCTTTCACCACTGTTTTGTTAGGGACATGGCTTGTGTCAGCTGCTAAATGATTAAACAAATCCCCTCTGACGTTCATTTCTTTTCGGTCTGCAAATGAAATAGCAGAGGGAAAAAACAACAACAAAGGCAAACCCGACAACCTCCTGACAATACATTAATGAAGCAAAGAGCAGATAACAGAAATGTAATACATTGCTCGTCCTCTCTGCTGCTCAAGGGGAGATGACAAACACGATTGTTTTAACCACGAACTTAAAGCCGTAATCCTCTTGCAGATCCAAAATCTATTAGGGACTCTAATCAACCTTTGACACCAATATCCAATTAAGGCAGTAAGTCATCTGCAGAGCACAGGAATAACTATGTAAAATGACAGAGGGAAAAAAAAAAAAAAAAGATAGCTATTTTCCTTTAGAAGCAAGTAACTTCCTTCCCTTCGAATTAAGAATTTTAAACTCAGAAAGGGAGACTAATTAGAAAGAATCACACAAATCCCACACAGCTCTGTAATCCCAGGATCTGTATTCTCCGGTGGAAATCTGATAATCCCATGGGAAGAGCGGTGCTTTCCCATAGCAGATCTCCACTTTGATTAAGAGCTTTCGGAATGAAATTATGCCTCAACGACTGATGACTCAAAGACGGATATTACTTCTCATCTGCAATTAATTCGTTATCCCCCCCTGGTCCGTAGCCCCCCGGACAACCCGAGGCCGAACTCCCCGTGAAATTAGGGAGAAGCGCAGCCCCGCGAACGTGTTGCACACGCAGACGACACATGTGCACCGATGGCACCGAGGCGCGGGGTACGGTACGGACGCAGCTCCTACCGCTCTTCCCGGGACCCCAGCGGTCGCTGCACGCAACGCGCTCGCGGGGAGCGGCTGGACACGCGCACAAGTGTGTGCCCCGCCAGTGCGGAGCTTGCACCCGCACCCACGCAGCCGGCACACACGCGCGCACACCCAGCACACCTCCTCCTGCCCCGGCTCCCACCCTTCGGCAACCGCATCGCCGCCCGCCCCGCAAACCTACCTGCGGCCACGGCCAGCGCCCCGCATTCAGACGAGCGGCAGCGCCGAGCCGCGCCGGGCAGCGCCGAGGCGGGCGGGCGGGCTGTGCCGGCGGGCGGCGGCGGCGGCGGCACTCTGGGAGTTGTAGTCCGAGGGCGGGTGGCGGGGGCCGGGCCGCTGCGGCAGCGCTGGGACTGCGCCGCCTGCCCCGGCGGCCGGGCTGGCCCCGCCCGCGGCGCGGGTTGAGGCTAAGCCGGGCGGCCCCCGAAACGGGGCGGGAGACGCGCAGCAATAGGGCGAGCCGCGCGAGGCTGTCGGGATGTCTAGCTTGGTCATCGCACGCGCTTTCTCCCCCAGAGCCATAACAGCTATCGTTGTGCTGTATGGAGTAATCAAATCACCTTGTCAAACGATCTCACAATTCCCAAAGCTGAGACTTCAGGAAGCGTTCTCGCAGCTGTGAGACTTGCAGGGAAATCTCAGCAGATCGCTCCGTGCTGGCAGGCTCGCCACCCGCAGCTCCTCACTTTGTGTGCAGGCATAAATGACTGCTAAAACCACAGCTGCCAAGCAGGCATCGTAAAAGGAATAAGCAATTGCCATGAGCCTTTACTGAATTTTCTTGCTTGTGCTTCCTCTGAAGGAATAAACTGCGTTGTGAAAATAAATTGTGGAGCAGGAAGAAGAGATTTATCGTGGATGGATATTGTGCTGTCGGGAAAATACCAGGCTCTGAGGGGTGTGAAGGGAGGAACTTGGGTGTGGAGCTGAAAGGAAGACGGATTAAAAGGGAACAGCACCTGCCTGGCTATCAGGTAGAAAAGCAGGAGCACTGGGTAAAAGAAAGCTGGGAGAAAACCCCCCCCAAAAAAAGGGAAAAGAGAAGACAGAGTGTCTTGAGCTATCCCAGCGTCAGAAACAGGGCAGTTCTGTGTAAGGACTCATTGGCAGTTCTGAAACACTGCATAAGGCAAAAAGTCAACGCTTTGATCCAGCTGATGCTCAAAAATGTCAAAACTGCTTGCCAGGACATGGTGATGCCAAGAGGACTCCCATGGATGAATCTGTCCCCCATGCCTGTCTGAGACTGCTTACTGCTTGGGGCTGGTCAGGAGAATGGTTTGGAAGCAGCTCCAGGCAACGTTTCCATTAGCAAACTGCACTTTCAATGCACTGAATGCTGTATTGTTTGTTCTTTGAAGAAAAATTGTAAGAAGAAAATTATGGAATGGGGAAAACAGCACAGGCTGTCCTTGGAGCTTTTTGTAACAATACCCTCTTTGAAATAAGTACAAAGAAGGAAATAAAACCTAATCAAAGAAACAAACAAGTGTACCTATAAATTGTTCAAATACTTTAGAGCAGAAACAAGCACAGTCTATAAGACTACTGTGTATTTCCATTCCGGAAGCAGCGGGATAGGAACACGCAGCAAGCTGCACCTGCCAGCTCATATAGACAAGTCTTAATTAAGTGACTGACAGGAAAAACCTCACTGTTCAGCCTGGCATTGCAGCCTGAGAGAGTGTGAGCCCTCTCCTGGGCTTCAGTACTATTCACAGAGGCCTTGGGGGGGACGGGGGGAGGGGGGGGGGGGGGGGAGGGGGAGGACAGCTTCTTTCTGACAGTGGATGCAGAGGCAGGAAATTGTTATCAATGCACAGCAACTGCCCATATCAGTGATCCTTCAGAGCCCCAGGAGCTATAGCAGTATTCTCAAGCACTTGCTGGGACCATAGCTACTTGTTATTTACTCACACACAGGCATCTTGCTGCTTGGCCACCCACACTCCTCCCTATTATATACCAGCTTGTGTTGGGCGTGTATATTAATTTGTTGCTAATAATTACAGTTCCACAAAGCGAGGAACAGAGAGCAAGCCATGATTCTGTCAGTCCAAATGTTGGCATTCTTTTAAGTCTTCCCATGTGATGCTGTCTCATTTCCCACCTGTGGTGCACAGGCTTTATAGCAAAATCCTTGTCTAGTCATATTCCATAACACTGACATTTCTTATTTTGGATGCAAAGAGTTAATAGCATTTTTGTTTAAAGAATGTAAGTGAGAGTTGCCAAAGCTCAGAGGTGTGGAGGTGGAAAGATGAATGCATAGCAACACATACTCTGCAAACACAAATACAGCTGGTGAAAAGATTAATCAAGCAAGGGCAGGAAGTAAGAACATTTGTCACGGAAAAAAATGGCCACATAGAGCTGAAAAACAGATTGATGGACATACAGTGGGACAGGAATAAAAGACTGGAGTAGACTGTCAGAGTTGATGAGCCTCGTTCTCTCTGTTGCAGCCTACTACATCATAAAGTCCTTTCAGAGTCTGAACTTTGCTATGGTAGCAACACAGTGATGGTATGGGATGTGACAGTAGAACTGATAAAGGTGTCTCAGCATGGATATATGAGATTAAATCTAAACCATGCTCAAGAACTGCTTGGAAGCTCTCTTTCAGTGGACTCAACTGTAGATGAGTATCTATACTAGATAGATATGACTTTTGTGTTCTGAATAAGCTGTGCTCAGTATAAGACTGGAAGAAGACTTGTGAGGATCTAAAAGTGGGTTCACTCCAGCAATGTATCTGTAGCCTTGCTGAGGGGCCACATCAGTCCTGAATAAATCAGAGAAAACAGGAAAAAATAGAAGCAGTTTTCTGAGTGGTGTATTCCATCATGGGTGATGAAGAATGAATTTAAAAGTAATCTGCTTAGTCTTACAAGTCCAGGGAATTTTCCAGTGCTGGACAGGTTTCTCCAAGAAGCATTCCTCCGATCACATTTTTTTCCTTTGTATCCCTAACTTTCAGCTTCATGACCTGTACATGAAATCCTTCAGGATTTCCTTGCAGGATCTTTAGTTCCTCATCTCACCTATTCACAGAACGGTGTGTTTCCAGTGGTCCCAGTACAAGAGTTGTGAGGCTGCATAGTTCCTGAGATAAGGCATGCTGCGGCCAGAACGGCCAGACAGTAATATACTCAGAGAAGTCTAGAGAGACTATTGCATAAACTTCCCATTTTCACTTGAATAGATCATGTTGCTGAGTAAAATAATTTGGCTAGGGAGCCAGTAACAAGGGGCTGCAGGAAAATTTAAAACCTATAAAGGAAATATATGGATCTGAGTATGGGTCTGTGAAGAATAACAAAGGTAATAGAAGTGAGTGAAGAGGCGAAGTTAAGCTTCTATGTAAATTGAAAATTTTTTTTTAAAAGTAATATATTGCTTAGAAAATATAAGTATTCTGAGGATAGCAAGCAAATATTTGGATATCTGTCCATGCAAAGAAATATCCAGCAATTATGTGCGCTTTAAACACATTACTGTCACAGATTTATTGATTTATAAAGCAAATGTAGATAGAAAACCAATTTAATTCTACTTTGGTTCCTTCACTAATGCATATCCATTGTGCATTAATAACAGACACAATAAGTAAATAAATTTACAGAGAGACAAAGAAACTGAATATGTGTGATAATGATGCACCACAATCATCAAGTGGAGATTAAATCCTTGCTGAATGCTTCTGCTTTCTATGTCTGGGTATGTGAAATCACAGTTTGGATAAGTACAGCTCCTGAGCAAGAATAAAAAAAGTTAATCCCCTGCTTTAGGACAGAGTAAAGTCATATGGAAGAGCAGGGGTGTAACAGTGGGACTGCTGACCACTTGGAAAACAACGCTTGGTTTTGGTGGCCCCATTGAATCAGCTTCTTTGGACGTTTTTAGCTACATAGACTCTGCAAGAGTGAGGAATGCAACTTAGAAATGCAAAGCAATTACTTCTGGGCTAACACACATGAAAGACAGGTAGGATTTAACAAGCTGCCAGGATGAACTCATCTTCTCCATGTGGCACACGCAGAGCCTTTGCCGGTCTTGTGGGCACTGACAGGGGATGGGCCAGATCCACATGTTGCTGAACTGCCATCTTGCAGTTATGCTGTCCATCCAATGGCTGGAGCTATGTCCTGACTCACCCAGGC